TGAGCCCAAGCAAAACATGTTCACAGTATCTGTAAAGGAAGCTCATTAGGATAATAATGGCTAATGAAATTAGCAAATTAAAATGTACTGTAGTCAGCTACTGTGGTTTAATAATGTCAGTTATTATTGATATTATAGCTCTAAAGCATCCTGTCACTGTCCATTGACATCAGCCTTCTGTGTAGTTATTAATGAGCCGTTACAGTATATCTACATCTACCTTTTCTCCTCTTTCCCCAACGTCGCCTTTTTCTCCCCTTAAGCCTGGCAACCCCTGTAAAAGCACAACTCCACATTAAAATCTGACGCACGGGGGTCCCGACCAAGGTCGGCGTGTGACGAGTCGGCAGCGAGAACGTGCTCGCCTTTGACACGCACAGACATAAGAGGCTTATCTTGCCCTTGCAATGCTAAAAGCAAGACATTTTCAATCAAACTTAAAACTGAAAGCTTTAAAACTTAAGACCAAAAGAAGAAGAAATAGCTGGGTGTAAAACAAAAAATTATATTTATGTAGTTAACTTCTAAATGAGATCTCTAAAGGGCTCCGTAACCAGACCAATTTACGCACAACAACGCTTACTGAATTGAACACACAGTGTATGAGAACTTTTAGAAGATCAATCAGCCATCTTTCTATCATTCACTAATAAGATAATTAGCATCAGGCAAGGAGGAGTACTTATTATCCACAAAAAGCAGCACAAATGAACAAAAAGTGCCTGAAATGACTGATGCTATTATGGTATATCATGCTATCAACTTGTGATATGGAGATTTGCAAAATGTGGAACATATGAGGCAGATTTGATGAGGTGTTCCTCTGTTATACAAAGTATTTTTCAGGTATGGGTTGGCTTTTTTTCTGTATATCATTTGGTGCTATACAACTCATATTCAGGAACTAAATTATGGACATTTTAAATAATGCTGCATCAGATTCTGTGGAGTTACACTTTTTCTTGTTTTGAGATTTAAAATATATATTTTAAAGCTTTTTCCTAAGTATTCCTCAACCGGAAGAAGCTGTTTGATTCCTGTTTTCATCACGAATTCTTTTTTCCTTAAACTTTCTTGTTAAAAACAGAACTAAAAGAAAGTCAAACAGACTCACATCCAAGCCTGGTGTTCCAGCAGCTCCCTGCAAATAGAGACATGAGCCATATTATGATCAAAAATATGTATTTCACACTGTATCAATACATTTGTTTAATTTTTGTAACAATAAATACAACATAAATGTAGGCATTGAACTATTTTAAACTCACAGGTAGTCCATAGGGTCCTCTTGGCCCTGGCTCACCTGGTGCTCCTTTCTCACCCTAGTTTAAAATACATCAGTGTTGTACTTACAATGGCAGGTAAAAGGTTAAATGAATTAGGACCAACCGATATATGAGATTTTTTAACACCAATATGGATATTTAGTGATTTGCAACTCTGATAATCTGATAAATGAGACGATATTTTTCCTTTCAGACACACAATAAATATGGATTCCTGAATACTTTTTACAAGCAGTTATTTATGAGTCTTTTCTATGATAACATGACAGTAAACTTTATAATCTTGTTTTCCTGGCACTTGAAGTTATGGATTACTCATTTACACTCTGCTTGACTCTGATCAGTTGGTTAATGTAGCACTTCCAATGACTTTGCTAACAGGGGAATGGCACAGTGCCCTCTGGTGGACAAACTATACCGCAGCAACTCTCGCTGCTGAATAATCTCTCCTTTATTTATATAATTAATTTTAATTTATTGGCCATCATAAAAAGTGGATGTTGTATTGACAAACAGCTAATGTCGGTCAATAATCGGTCACTATATATCGGTCTGCCGTTAATGCAGAGTATCATCAGTAAGATATAAGAAATGAAATGTTGATCTTACAATATCCCCCTTCGGCCCAGCTGGACCAGCAGGACCTGGAGGCCCATCCATGCCCTGCAGAAAACAGTGTTATCATGGTGAGTTTACAACCTTGGGTTAGAATAAGCACGTGTTTCAGAATAATTAAGGTTAATGCAAATGGTAGCAAAAGCCACATATAGCCTCCGCATATATATTTATACATGTATATATATATATAATACTCCTGGTTTGACCTACAACCAGCACACAGAAGTGTAAGACGTGCATTGGCCACAAAGGACATTTACGCTGCTGACACAGTTAATGTATGAGTGTGTGTTAATGCTCAGTTAATGCAACACGGGACAAAACAAGAGCCTTGAAATGCCTGCTCTAACAGTGCTGCGTATGGTCTCAGTCCTCTGAGCTGAAGTGAGTGCGGACAGTCTTTTTTCTGAGCTATAAAAATCTCAAAGAAAAAAAAAATGGAAACAAAACTGTCTTTTTTTTGTAAAAATGACATAAACAGTATGAGGTGGCATGGCTGAACAAAAAGAAAAATAGGAGAAGGAGGGGACTGTATGGAGGGGATACTGTCGAAGTAGATACTGTACGAGTTAGGTGCTGAAGCCTCTTGGTCACATGGCACTCACCCTAATTCCAGGCTTGCCGTCCAAGCCGGAGGCTCCCTGTGTGGTTATGGAGGTATGAGTGACATGAACAAGGCGGGATTAGTACCAGATGAACACTGTTATTAGGACAGGTTGATGGCAGGGTTTACAACAACTAAATTACACTGTGTGTTACAGGGCGCTCGGCAAAGTAGTCAGCCCAGGCAAATGAAATTGAGCACAGAAAATGGATTATAGATGCACACACGCACGCACACTTACATATACAAACACACACATACAAACGTGTGTACTAATGCACAATACAATACAAATGAGGGATCTCTATGGTGTAAAGAAATAAAGAAATAAAGGGCAGGACTGGCTGAAGACACCCTGTGGTGTGTGGTTTCACTTACAGGGAGACCCAGAGGTCCACGGTCCCCTTTGTGTCCTGGTTCTCCTCGAGTACCCTTTGCCCCATGCAAACCAGGTTCACCCTGAGAAAGAAAGAGTTTCAGGCTCACTAAATATTTATAATAACTACTTATAAGATAACCTGACTTTGACTTAATTTTGTACACGTGAAGGAATTGCATGTTCACTTTGTTGATATTTACCTTTGGTCCAGGAAAGCCATGGGGACCCTGAAAAACATTTAAAAAGCGGCTCACATTAGTACCTGGTTCGATTATTTTGAATATATTTCATTTCCATCCCCACATTTCTTTTCTGTGTTCTGCTTGTGGCCCGAACCGTTGCGCATAAATTGTTGTGAAAGCTGCGTTGAAGGGATGGATGAAAAGTAGAACAAGCGCAGCACCGTGAAATTGCTCACAGCGAAAAACTGACGAGGGCTCCCAGTGTTTTATTTTTACTCTGTTCCTTGGTGACTTCATACAAGCAAACACCGCTGTGGGATTAAAGAGGAGTTAAGCTGGACTGGGCCGCAGACAGATGGGAAATGTAATTAGTGACTGACAGTCTATATATGTAAGGTGAAGGAAATGCTAGCGTGGCTCCAAATACCCACTTCTTCTTAAGATATTGAGATTTTTTAAAAAGGAAGCTGTAGACTTTTAACCTGCTGTGTGAGGTTAGAGCTAAAAGGAAGGATGGAAGGAACCACGGCTCTACAGTGCAAGCTTCTGTGTTTCTGACACATTTATTTGTAACGACACTGTGCTGTTGTCTTTTCGTTCGTTGTGAGTTGTCATGTAACATGTCATTAGGGTTATTAGCATATGCTGTGTGTCTAATACAAGTGTAGTTTGTGTCCACTAATGAAAAAGGGGGTTTTCAGGGCAGCACACTGACCATAGGTCCTGGGGATCCATGGGGCCCTGGTGGCCCTGGAGGGCCAATTATCTGAAAACATTAGGAGAGAAATTATATAACAAAAGTTTGAGTCAACAAGTTTATTACATGTTATTTGCATTTCACAATAAAAGCATGACATATAGGGCACTTTTACTAAACTGGTCAAAAAACAGAGTGAGAGCAAAAATAGCGCTACAAGGTGTGTTGATTTACAAAAGTGGAACTATTTTCGAAACACAGGTGCAATTATTTCATTTGAGTATCAAGTGCAAAATATAAGACATGCTTTTTGGTACAATTAGCAGCAAATCAGTAAATCAGGTTGCACACTTTATTTGATTATTTTCTTCCTGATATTTTGCACCTTGAGAAAAGGAACTCCCAGAAATGCGTATGGAACTGGGTCAGCTGTAGAAATCTGAGTGACTCTTACATCAGTCTTGTCACTGCACTCTCTTTGTAAATATTGTTGTTACTATATTTTAGTCTAACTTACAGAAGGACCTTGAGGACCTGGGAGTCCTGCATCTCCTTTATCCCCTTTCATTCCATTGACACCCTAGAGAAACAAAAGTTTCATGAGATCCACGTTGTTTCTGCTGAATGACAGGCTGAGAAGGTAAAAGTTTCAGAGGCATTTATCAGAGTATTCTTACAGGTAAGCCAGGTAAACCAGTTGCTCCTTTCTCCCCTGAAGCTCCGGGCATTCCCATGTCTCCTTTAGAGCCTTTGTATCCCTAAGAGGGGGTAGAAAGTTACCCAAAGAGATCAAAATGATTAATTTCTATTTTCACTGTAGCTATTAATTGAGAATGGGTTTTGTACTGGCTACAAAAAACTGTCTTTTCCCCTGATATTCTCTAACAGACACTGTCCTGTCTGTGGTGGATTGTTTCTTGTTTATATGGTTCAGTTACTTCTGTTGATTTTCAGTTCTGTTTCCCTGTATATGTTACTCCCGGCTCTGTGTCTTCCCCACTATGTTGGTTGTACTGTCGTGTCTTCAGTGTGGGAGACTGTCGTGTCCCCTGTGCTTAAGTCTCCCTCGCCCTTTGTCTCTCAGAGATGTCTTTGCCTCCGTGTCGCTCCCTCTCTACCCCTCTGTCTTATCTCCTTCTCTGGTTTACATGTTTCCCCTTGTGTTTCGTTCCATGTCTTCCCCATCTGTCATGTGTTCTCCCCAGCCGTCACAGTCTCTGTATTTGTTTCTTAGTATGTCCGTGTCTCATCTCCCGTTTCCTGTCTTGTGTTCCGTGTTTAATGTGTTTATTTTTGCTTCCTCTGTGGCATCATGTTCATGTGTATCTGCTGTGTTTCCACTTCCCTCGTCACCCTCATGTGTATTTATGTGATCTGTTGTCATGCATTCACTGTCAGGTTGTCTATGTTTCACGCCATGTTACTATGTATCCAGGCCAGGTTTCATGTTAGGGGTTTTTCACGTTTAGCTTTCCACTTTAGGTTATTGTTTAGCTTCGTCTTGGTTCACTTTTTCCCTTTGTTTTGTAGTTTGATACCAGACATAAAAAATGGCTCGATTTCTGTTAAGAATCCCGTTTTGCCTTTGTTTGTCTACACTTAGGTCGTCTACTCTCGACTCCACATGTTAAGGTTAACCAATGTAAGTAAATATACATGTATAAGATCAACTTACTCTTTCTCCATCAAGTCCAGGAAGACCAGGCAGACCGCGATCCCCCTGATATGACATTTTTATGACCACAAATTAAACTAAATTAGCTATCAAGTTACATAATGTGACTTGTAAAAGTCACCACTTGACATCATAATCAAACAAACATACACACACACATAAGAAATTTACCTTTATGCCTGGTGGTCCCGTTGGCCCAGGAGGCCCAGGGGGACCCTGGACAGAAAGAGAGACAGATTTCTCTTCAACACGTGCGCACAAGTGAATACATCTGTAGTGAAACCTACGAAACAATGCTGTGAATTACGTTTTAATTAACACTGGCACTGGCCATAACACTGAAAAATTACGTTAGGAATCAGGTATTAACCATGAACAGGACGCTCGACACATGCAGAGGTCACAACAGTGAGAACATGTATGACAGAATTACACACTTTGATGTTAGGATGTGAGGGCTGCATGACTTTGACAGCTGAGCCATAAATTCTGCCATTCTGACACCGATTTAGGGTGAAATGTTCACACTGTCAAGCATCTGCATTTTTCTGCTCTGAGGTTTGTAGTTCTTAGTGAAAAACAAGGCTACACATCCGTATGCTTATTTTAGATGTAGACATGTTGGAAGGTGGAATAAACTATTACTGACTCAAACCACAGCCTTGGGGATTCTTGACTGTTATACGTGATGCGATTTTGACAAGAAGGGGACTGAGTGAGTTTGGAAAACCCTCTTAATGCTGTTTAATGGACATTCAAGGACACAACCAGCAGCTCAGGCAGCATGTAAGGTCGATCACAGAGAAGCACAATCGCAGCATCGAATACAGTTTTATTCACTGTCAAGCAAAAACGTTGCTGGGTGAGGGAGGACAAGTACAACAGGGCAGCACAAACCGGGTCGGGCCCATGCTGGGACATAGATGGATCACACTTTGGAGATGAAACGATACACAGAATACACAGAGCCTATTTACCGTAACTGTAATTGTGGTAATCTTCTGCAGTAGGCCATAGGAGTGGAAGTGGGGAAGAGGTGAGAGATAAGATTGCAGAGGTCACATGAAAAGAAACCTTTGTGTCAGCACATTTCTGCACAGGAACACCCTCAACGTCTATAGAGCTCAACCTAAGTAGCTTCAAATGAAGGCATTGCACTGGATTACATTTCTATACATGTTTATATTTTTTCCTTTTTAGTCATTATGTTATGCAGGCAAATAATTCACTTTCACCTACTTTAGCTCCACTTTTAACCTGGCAAGTAAGCAGTTAGGTAGGTAGGTAGGTAGACACATCAAAATAAAAAGGAATCATTTTCCCCTCGTCTTTTACGTTTAAGGAACCGACCTGTAAAGCTTCCTGAATGTTTCCGTTGTAGTCGATGATTTCGGTGGCACCTTGTTCTCCTTTCTGCCCAGGTGGGCCCTGCACATGTCCAACACCATTAAACACATTTTTATTTCACACATGATTACATCATATCAAAGAATCACAAGCTCAATAGAGTGCCTCCCTTTCAGAAATCTGCCAAGGCTTAACTACTGCCCCCTGGTGGTGATAACAAACCTCTAAGGGCAGCAGATCTGCCTCAACCTCATCCTATTGCTGACATCTTCACCTGTCAGACCAAACCTCTGCATGTTCTGACAGCATCCATAAACCTTTTGTGTGGCTCAATATCTTTGTTCAGTTGTCCCGTATATCCTCTTCTGCACATCTCCCAACTATCTCAGCCTTGTCTCCCTTTTTATTTTGTCTCCAAACCAACACTCAAACTGAGCTGTCGCTCTGATGTGCTCATCCTAATCACATCCTAGAACTGAAGTGTTGTATTAGAAATTAAAAGGTTTAGCGTATCAGCACACAGCATCCTTAATTATCTTTAATATGCTTGCTTACCCTTGGTCCAATGAGCCCCAAGTCTCCTTTATCTCCACCCTCGCCCTAATATGAAAGACAAACAACAAATATTGAACTCAAGGCACATTGCCGTCACGCCTTCAGCCACACACTTTACATTTTTATAGATGCTGAGGCCTTTTAGTATTTACAGCTTGCATTTGACAGAATGAAAGAACAACTTTTTGTATCTATAACCTGTTTTTAAGGGCGATGAAATAATATCTATGTTCTTTACAGCTTCAAAAGCTGCGATAAAAGCTTGAATACATTAATTATCAATGAGAACAAATTAAAATCTGAAGTTCAGCTTTTCGCCCTTATTACACTGAAGGAGTTTAAAGTGTTGGTGGAGTTTAAATTTGTGTGTGCGACTGTTTTATGTGAGTTCGTTTGAATGTTGTTAATTTAATCTGATGTGTGTTGCTGTGTATCTGTGTTGCTGCCTTCTTAGCCAGGTCTCCCTTTGATCTCAGAGGGACTAACTGGTTAAATAAAGGTTAAATCTATTGAAAAAAAAAACAAGTGTCTTTAATGAAGACCTCACTGAAGAACAGTGTTTTATAGTGACATATAACACAGCATTCAACTCAAAGACTCCTCCAACATTTATTAATACCTGTAAATCTGATTGTTTTTATAAACAACACGCTTAACAAGGATCATTAAGTTTTTAGTGTTTTCACATTTTTACCAGCTCAAGACAAAAACAACAAACCAAGATCACTGGAAAATACATCTTTTACCCAGGATCAACTAATTCCCATGCAGTGTAGAGAAAACAAATCTGCTGTACTGACCTTTGACCCTTTAGGGCCAGGTGTGCCAGCCTCTCCTTGTGAACCCTGCCACGTTTAAAAAAAAACACACAGGTGAAGAGGATACTAACGCTTAGCACTTCAGACATGCACATAAAGTTGAAGAATATAAAACAAACCCTATTTAAAAACTTTTTATGGGTTTAAAGAAAATTACGCATTTCTAAAAACACATTTCCTAAAGGAAACATCATCATCCTCTCTGACTCCTCCTGTGAGAGCTACGCAGCGAGCTCCACTAAAATAACCAGGTTTTAATACGCTGCAACCGCCAAGAAGTGGAGAACGTGTTTATTTGAACTCTGTCGCTGACAGAGGATGAGTTTCACTTCTGGGGCGTGTAATAGGATGTGAATCAGATCTCTGTGTCGTCTAAGTTTAGACTGGAGATTAAGCTACCTGCAGGGGCAGCACCAGACATAAACAAAGGCAACCTCATTTACACTGGGTTTACTTTACACGCACTCCAGGGAGAGCCATGGACCTATCACAGACTATAATGTTTTAACCAGGTTTAACAAAAAGAGAACATGAAGTCTTGATTAAGCATCGCCTTATCTGATTTATGACTTTGCCGTGTGTGTTTGTATCGAAGAGGCTCTAGATGGCAGCAAAGCAACAGCTGAAAAGCTCCAAAGACTCCTCGCTTCAGCGACTTATTTCTTTAATAATTCATACCGTACGCACAGGCATGAATGCACACTTATGCCCTTCACTTGCTGACCTTTGGTCCAGCGGGTCCCGTCTCTCCTCGTTCCCCCTTCCCTGGTGGTCCGTGGTCACCTTTCTCACCCTATGCAAAGAGAAGGAGAAGGAGAGGTGAGTTACTATTGTTCTCCTGCAAAAAAAACAAAAACAAGGTGTCACGCAGAACTGCTGATCCAAGCTGAGTTCCCTCTTTAATGTCAGCACAAGGCCCGCGGTGCATCTTCTGAACATGAGGCGCGCCTTCGGTTCCCCTCATGTCATACATATTCAGCATGACTCCTCAGCCTTTTCATGAGCTCGCTTACTCAACATATTCAAACGGCGAAATGTAAATACTGATGCCGAGTCAGCACGAGGCAGACATGAGATGTGACAGGGCCGAGGAATTCGACAACAAAGAAGTGAAACCCTTTTCCTTAAAGTCGATGATTTAAATGCACGTTCTTAATTTTGGATTGTGCCTTTTTTTAATTTTGATTTGACTGAAAACAGCCAATAGAGGGAGATGTGGTAAAACTCGAGCTTTACAGTGTCTAATAGTTCTTACTGATATTTAAAAACCGAGCAATTATTATCAAGCAGCATCGATTCAGTAAGGATTTAATAATAAACGGTTACGGTTATGTTATTATGTGTAGTGTGCCTTGAAAGCAAAAAAAGCAAGTAAAACGCTGATTGTCTCAAATGGAATAAACATTAAGCCAAATTGTTTTTCTACAAAGCCATTTTTTTAGCTTCTCTCTGCCTGACATTTGATTAAGCAGCAGAAATATGCCAGAGGACAGCGAAACGCTAATATATCTCAGTTATCTGCGCACTGCAAACAGCCCGATGCAAAAGGACATGAGCACGAGCAATAATTCTTGCATGTCTGGATTATCACCGCTGGCTCCGCAGTGTGATAATGTCAGGACTCAAAGGTAGCGGCAGAGGATTATCTCATTCTGACCACTTCCAAGTGACATTTTGAAGCAACAGAGGTTTAATCGCCTTGAGGGGAAGCGATAATGAAGGGTAATGAGAACAGAAACTCAAAGGAATTCGCGATTTCACCGACGATCGCGCTGATAGGATGTGATAACCATCAGTCAAAGTGTTTGCGTCTCATCATTACCAGCTCGTAATATTCAGCGTGTCACTCGGAGCAAAAATACCTCCCACGCTGTGATAAACAACATCACAGTGACGAGCTGAAGTCACCCACCTTAGTTCCTGGGAGTCCTGGAAGCCCAGGCTCACCCTGGGGACCGAGAAACCCGGGCTCACCCTGCGCAAAAAAAACAAAAACAAAAACAAAACCACGCTATTATTAATTTTTCCACTGGGCGTCTCTCGTGTAGCGCTGCTAATGAGCACTAAACACACACACACAAGATGCATGAGCAAACACATTTATAATGACAGGCATGCACTTACAGCTCGCACACTTGCACACGCACACAAGCGCGCACTCATGCATAAATCACACTCACAGACACACATTATCAGTGGCTGGTTAATTTATCCCCTGGTTCCTCATATATTAACGAGTCTCTCCCTCTTATGAATCCTAATAGACGTTTCGACTGACCTTGTTAGAAACTCATCGGGCCACGCAGAAGCGTTCTGATTAAGAGGGTCTGCGCCGCTCACGGAGACGCTTCCAATTTTCCTGCATTTGCACTTTCACGTATGAGGAGCGAGGGTCCAGCATGAAGTGCGACACTGGGTTTGATTTACATTACATTTGATTGGGAAATTACTTAACCGGAATGTATTATTACACCATCTGCAACCTGGAGAACATCAGGCACTCTGGAAGCCCTCAGAGAGGCAATGGACATTTGGCTTTCAAACCTTTAAACTTTGATTGGATAAACAGCAAAGAATGCAGAGAGCAGAACAAAGTGCAAGGCCGAGTGCTACGTTAGCAAAATAATTTTGTTAGAATCCATCAAGCATACAGGCCTCTTAAGTCAAAACAGGAGTATATAAAGTGTAAAATGAAAGGGCCTTTTTTTAACAAGCCCAGCACGTTCCAAGCATATGAAAAGAAAAGAACAAAACGGGCATAACAAGCACCATCATCTCCATGCCTGTGTGAGCATTCCTTACATTCAACAGTTATATTTTAAGCTTAATGGTCCTCAAGTGCATTGATTTGGTTGCTTTTCTTTAACATGCACCATTTGTGCATTTCGATTCGCCATCTGCACTTGATACGGGGAAAACAGTAGCTTGAAAAAACCCGGAATAATCAAATAAAAGTTAAACTTCCCCTTTTTAACGAGCAGCACTTTTGACACATTGAGCCTCCTGATTGCCACCGTCAGGAAGTCGACTGAAATGTCTGCCTGCTAAGCAGCATTCAATCATTAATTCATGGACCTCCGTGTTATTCACGAATCCTAATGAGACGGTTTTCCTGCTGAACGCTGGCATGTTTAGATCAAAAGCTCAGACTGTTTGGTTTTGTCATTTCGCCTAAACTCCTCACTTTCGCTTCGCAGCAGCTACCGTGCTGCTGAGCTGAAGCGCGAATCCCCACAAAGCAGGAGAAGCGAGATCGGACCACGACGGCGTGACAGCAGGCCAGATGTGTACTCTACCACAGATGGACTGAAGCTGACGGACAGGGACAACACTGATGGGAGGGTGGATGAAAACAGCGAAGCATTTACCTTTATCCCTGGTAGTCCAGGCAGCCCTGGAAGTCCTGGCTCTCCCTACACAAGAAGAGTGTGACATGTTACAGCCAAGCCAAGCTAAGCTGAGTCAAGCCTCATTTGGGTTTGAAAAGCTCTATGCTTTATTTTCTATTTGTGTTTTCCTCTGTCTATCAAGCTGTCGTGGTTCTGAAAAGCGGCCCGCTGTCCAGAAATTGTATTTTCACCGTCATTCGCTTGTGGTAAGCATCAGCAGAAGGAACTTGCACATGCACTTTCAGACCAACTCATGCAGCCGTGGCTTGACAGCGCGATTAGTACTTGTTATAAAACTCAACCCTTCAAAAAGTGCAACTGAGTTTCATTTTTAGGATTTTATTGGTTTGGGCAGGTGTGAAGTGTTCGGGGTTTCTGGAAGGAAAAATCGTCTGATACTTTGGGTTAAAGTTGCAAAAGCTGTTTGCGAAAGCTGCCACGGCTTCAAGGTCCTCCGAGTTTGGCAGCGTAGGAAGAGTTGGCGTATTTTTCTATTATCAAGGTCGGGTGATTGTCAAGCTGAGAACGGAGTCATTTGATTCGACTGTGGAAAGCTCAAGAGGTAAGGCTTCCCCCCCCCCCCAATCCTCCAATGAGAATACTTTGAGACTTTCAAAATAAAAATTTCTGACTTAACGGGAAAATTATGACCACTGGATTTATGGCATATGAAAAGAAATGATTAGCGCCGCTCAAGAATAATGAATCGTAATGGCACTCGGGGGATCAGAGAGGAGGCTGTAAACTGCGATTGCTGCTAATGAAAGCATTATAAAAAATTAAGTCCTTCTTGTTGACAGCTGAATAAATGAGTGCCACCCAATGGTGATGTTAAATGGGAAACAACAACTCAATCTTGTGACATTATTATGTGAAAAAAACCCAATTTTTAAGTGTGTCAGCACAAGCAGGATGTAAAACGAACAATATGATTAAGCATTAAAAGTTAGTTAGGCCTCAATTTTACTTAGCAGCAAAGCAGGAAATAAGAGGCACTTGCTAAAAAAAACAACCTTTCTGTCGCCTTGAACTAGTTTGTCCAAACAGATAAAAGAGACTGAGAGTGTAATTTACATGAGGCATTGGTGCAATGTCAGCAGAAGTCTGGTCAAAGGCCGGACAATGGCTCAGTTTTCTTATTCGTCGTGACTGTTTATTAGTTTCTCAACAAAAGCTGTTTCTTCAGCAACATTCTCCTGGCTGCCATTGTTGCCTCGGAAAGTATGTCAAACACTACAACAAACAACAGTCGGGAACAGAGGTCGTAGCGGCGAATATCGTTTGAACAATAAAAACTGAAGCAGCAGAATAGGGTGACCTTGTGGTTGGAGCTAAGGGAAATGCACGCAGAAACATGGAAACAAGAAAAAAGGAGCCAAAAAAAGAGAAAAATGCAGAAGATTAGTATATCCAGAGGTGTTAGTATGAAACTGGAGACCCTACACTGGCTCTAAACAAGAATCAAGCTGAATTAAAGTGAACTGAAGGGCTGTGATGTACTGAAGGTCAACTTGCATTCTTAATGCCATTTAAACAGTAACGTTGGGCTGAGTTTTGAATGAGCATGTCCATATTTGAGCTTTTCTAATTTGCAAAAGTTTAGATGTGTACAGGCACAATGATGAAAAATAAATAGACTTTCATATACACTCAGGTTTCCTAAAACTATTCACTGGTCGAGTTATATTTTGAGTAAAATATGTCGGTATGTTTAAATCCATACTACTGTGACTGTTGCATGCAATTATGTACTACTTCCTTTATGCTGTGTTTTAAAAAGCCATGAGGTGTAGCAAAGTGTAGTCATTACCTTTAGTCCACTTCTTCCAGGCTCTCCAGGTTCACCCTGTAATACATGTAAAGAGTTTTCTATTTAACCGGTGAGACCGATTTAAAAATACCACCAAGTATCTGTACTTCTGTTCTGCATGTATTAACAGAAAGTCCTTTATAAGGTCTTAATCTTAGTAGTTAGTTTCAATTGGTAACAGAAAAAGAGACCTGATCGAAGTATGCATAGCTATCTGAAGGCTATCTTATTTTCTTTCATGTTGACTACACTTACCTATTCCTGTTCTAGAGTAACACTGTAGCTCATTATTGTGTCATTGCTTTACTAATGGAAGTCCATTTTTTCCTCATTGAATCCAATTAAAATGAATGAAAGTAGCACAGACTAGCATTCATCTGGTAAGTAAACTATACTGCTCAAGAAAATTAACAGAATCTCAGTGAGAAGGGCATTGGTTTAGCTCACTGTGTTGAGCGGGTGCCCACATGCCCTTTGGCTCAGAGCAGCCAACCCGCGGCCCTTTGCCGCATGTTTCCCCCCCTCTCTCTCTCTCTCGCCTTTTGCATTCCTGTCAATTCTTCAATCCGAGAAAATCTAATTTTCTCATTGAAACAAACATAATGTCCCAGAGATGTTCTGTTTGATTTTGCTGAGGTGAGTGTGGGAGCCAGTGAAGTCCTTCATCTTCCAGGAACTGCCTGTGAAATCTCACCACTTGAGGCTGCCATTGTTGTGCACTGGGAGGAACCCGGGCCCACCTGCACCAGCACTGGTTCAGAAAATCGAACCAAGGATTTCTAATGATACCTAGGATACCTAATGGAGGTCAGAGTGTTGTTGGCTAGCCTGCAGAGCTCTGTATGCCTCTCCATTGATATGCTTCCTCAGACCATCACTGATCCACCACTAAACCTGTCATGCTGAACGATGTTTCATGCACTACTAGAGGACGTCGGGCCTTCAGGCCAGCCTCATGAAGGCTGTTTCTGATCGTTTGGTCAGAGACATTTACACCAGTGGTCTGCTAGAGGTCATTTTGTTGTCTGGCAGTCCTTATATAGTGCTAATCCTGTTCCTCCTTGTACAAAGGAGGAGATACTGGTCCTGATAATGGGTTAAGAACCATTTACAGCCCTATCCTGCTCTCCTAGACTAACTGCATGTCTCCTGGAATTTCCTCCATGCTCTTGACACAGCAAACTTTCTGCCAGTGGCACATATCAATATGCTATCCTGGAGGAAATGGACTATCTGTGTAACGTCTGTAGGGTCCAGGTATCGCCTCACGCTGCCAGCAGCGATACTGACATAAAATGCAAAACTAATGGGAAAACAGTCAGAAAACTGTCAGCGGCCTCTATCTGTAAAACCTGTTTCCTGTTTCGGGGGTTGTCTCGTTGTTGCCCCTGTAGTGCACCTGTTGTTAATGTCATTAACACCAAAGCAGCTGAAACTGATTAACAACCCCCTCTGTTACTTAACGGACCAGATCAGTATCCAACAAGTTAAACTCACTTGACGCTTTACTGCTTTTTTTTTAGCGTAGTTTAGCTAATAAACTAGCACTCCAGCCAGTTATGCTAATATATTGAGTTCAGAAGCCAAAAAGCCAAGCTGGTAAAGGCTAAAATGCCAGATGTTAATGCTCCAAAGGATAGTTAACAAACCCAGGAACATCTGTCCTTTTTCTGCTGTCTATAGTCAACCCTATTTATAAAATACCTGTAGCTTTCCATGCACACACAGTCACAACTTGTATCTTAATGAATTACATTTTTCCATTTAAAAATCTTAAATCAAGGACAAAATGACAGTGGTCTGTGAAACAAAAAGCTTTAGTTTAGCTCTCACCTTGATGCCTGCTGCAGAGGAGCCTGCATCTCCCTAAGAAAGAGTCACAGAAGAAAAGTCAGAAAGACACAAAAGGCAAAACAAAAAGTGACAGAGACTGTTAAAATAGTCGATGGGCTTGTCTGTGAGGCCACCGGAGGAGTCAACATTATTGTGCAATTACATTTACAAAAATGCTGACTTATAGAAAAGAAACCCATTTACCGAACAATGCGGAGCATAATTTCACAACTGCTGCATTTGACTGGATAAAACTGGGTGAAAACACAATTTGAAGAGCAGATTGTTTGCTATTCTAAACAGAGAATGTACCTTTTCACAAAAGCTGGAGACAGCATTTTTATGACTACGGTGCTGGGAATCGTTTCAGTTTTACCCTGCAGCTGGGCAGGGGTGATGACATGCAGGGTGAAATCTAACACTATATACAATAAGAAGAAATCCACAGCAGTATACGAGGTGAAGGTGTTTAAGGAGGCACACTAACAGGAACCACTGAAAGCTTTGTTCATTGCTTCTCCTTAGATATGGCACAGAACTAGAAGGAGACAGAGCTACTTATATCACATTTTTCCAGCAAAGCTGTCCAGACACCAAGAAACCAGACCCTTTTTTTTCTATGCACTGCATCACTACTGCAGTGTACAGTAAAAACAGACATAAAACAAGGGGCCAATAAGTCTAATTACGGGTGGTTGGTGGGAAAAAGGAGTGGGGAGGAGGAGGCTGGGTCTTTAGCTCTGGTGTGGACTCTGTGGTTTCACTACACATACGCCTCGCGCTCAGAAGTTGCTGAAGGAATGCCTCTCGCCCTCAGCTTTTTATGGGAGTCATTATGATGCATAGCACACAAGGCAATGTTTAATTGTGGCTTTTTTTTTTGCACACAATAAACTGCGTTACTGTTTACAGCTGGGTTTCGCTGCATACTCAGGGGTGCTTCTATCCCAATCTTAAAAATTCATCATTCCACTTTTTAATATATATAAGTGGACATTTTCACAAGTTCTTTTATATTTTATTGGGGTACAGGATCTAAATGGATGAAGTTTTACAGCTCACTACAAAAAATAAAGAAAAAAAGCTCCTTCATGTTATTACAATTCATGGAAGACAAAAGAAAGGCTTTTAAATCATTTTACACAATTAAATAGAAATATTTCTGGCCAAATACTTAGGAGACAACATGGATTTATTTAATCTTAAAACATATATAAATATATATATAGTAAAGAAGGAGACAGGGGCCCATTTTACTGACTTTCTTGTGTCTTCATTGAATATGAATCAGAGCTGGTTCACACCTGCTGCTTTCAGCAGGGGTAAAGGTGTCACGTTTGTGCTTAACTGTTACAATTTTAGCAATAAAAACAACAACAACAAAATTACCTTGTGACGCTCATGATCAGTTGGCTATATGCAAGCATAATTAACCGTTTCCACATAATTAATCACAGCAGGATCGTAATGTGGTCGTACTGCGGAGAAATAAAACGTTGCATAATAGATTGTAAAGTTTGGCCGTGTGAAGCAAAGCCCTGAAAACAAGGAGGATGCTGCAAAAGCGATCGAGCCTTCATTCCTCGGCTGCTGAAGCAAGAAGCTCGCTGGCGTGACCGATCTAACACAAGTGACACCGAGCTCTAGAAGCCGAACGAGAGCCCTGACCAAGAGAGAGTTTAATCTCTTCCAAATGTAGGAGTATGAGATGGAAAAAGCGGCGGAGCTGGGAGGTGTGCTGAGGTGTGGCGCAGAGTGCTGACACGTCCCAACTGGGCCAATTACCACGGTGAGGCTACAGCGTGCGATTTAGCCGCAGAGCAGACTAAGATGGAGAGCCGTCACCGCAACTCCACTTCATCACAGGCACCCAGACCTGTCGCTGCCCGTTGGCATTTGGAGATAATAGCATGAAGGGCGCAAAATGTATGCCTAGTAAATCATGCCATTTTCCGGCTGTTTGCTTGGGGAATGAGATGAGCGCAGAATTAATCGCTGAGCAATGAAGGCATGGCTGAATTGTGACAAATTAATACCACCGCAGTCATCAAAATATGACTCTTACTCCACATTACAGCCATTAGCAGCGATGACCAAATTCAGCGGGCCCCGGCTAAATATTACCCCCTGTCCCTGAGTTAAGATATATGTGAGGCAATGCAAATTGTGATCGGCTCCCAGGGCAGAGAGGCCTTGCCAGTATTTGAAATGCTGCCAGTTCACAACAGCTTGGACCGGATCTTAGGATTCAAAAATTATACCAACCGCTGTGCCAGACTGGCCAGAGCCAAGCACTCACAGCCTGGAACTTCCCAAAACAAAATCAAAAGTTTGATTTGGTGTATTTAAAAAAAAACCAACTTTAAAGAATTTTTCAATTTGTGAGGTCCAACTTTTTCAGCAAGAAGAGTCACAGTTAATTTCACACCTACTTAAATACTTAGGCTGAATGCATCAGAAGGAAATGGTTTAGAACTAAAGCTTTTAACTGTGGTAATGATTTGTTTTAAATGAGGCCAAAAATGGACATGCAGGGGCTGTTAGAAACATTTCTCTCTACGCTTAATGACGGCTTACGGACGCAACAGAGCAGGTAATGTGTTATATAAATGTATACTAAACAGTGAGTGAACATAAGTGAGTATAATTACACAGCTGCTTTTCTTATGTACAATTAACATACCTATTACCTACTACTTTTCCCCTGCTACATTTAGCTCGTGACTTATGATCACATATGTTTTAGTATGATCATGTTTCCCCCCATATTGCATTTTGCAGTGTTATATATTCTTTAGAATTTGCTATTCGTATATATGAGGCTAGTCACAGAGATTGGTAACTCCTGGTCTCTAAAGAAAAGTGTGCATTCCTTGAAGAACTGCTGAGTAGTTGATGACTGTCCGGTATTTAAATTAAAGTCCCACACATGCAGGCCAAAAGAGAAGCTAGTGACCCCCTTCCAACCTCCGGTTGCTAGGGAAAAATGTGTATTCCCCAACCAGTTGCCATGTGGTTGCACTAGGTTGCTTTTAGTACTAGATAAAATTGGTTGCATAGAGGGAAACGGTCCTGTAATGAAAACCTTCTTGCGACTGCCTTGTTTGCACGTATGACGGTTGTGATTGCTGATAGCTCGGGCAATCTTTAACTGCTATGGTCACTTGACTACGAGTTCGACTACAATGTTTACTAGTTTGATTACAGTTTGATTGGAGGCAAACTGGTATCTACTATGAAAGCTATGGGTGTCCGAATCAATCTGCTAGCAACCAAGGCAGCCGCAAGGAGATTTTTGGTGGATCACCACATCACACGTAGAAACCTCCACTTGCCAACCGGTCAGGGATTACCTGGGGTTGCCACTCCCTGACAACTCTAGGTGAGAAAAATATGCATTCCCCAGTTCCCATGTGGTTGATCTTGGTCGCTGCCAGTCGCTAAATGAAATTGGTTGCATAGAGATATGTGGTTCTGCATTGAAGACCTTCTAGCGATTGCTTTGGATGATGCTCTACACCCAGCAACCTATAGCAACTACTCTCCAACATTTTAGTGAATATACTCCTTTCCATGTTGGTTGTCAGCAGCTAGTTGTAGCAAATTATTTATTTACAGCAATGTTTTCAATAAACACCTGGAAAACAAGGTATATTTCTATGGTATTCAATTAAATTATCTGCACATGAGCTTATACAAACAAGAAACTAAACACGAGGCTACTTGGAGCTGTTGGAGTCCTCAGCATGTCAGCTTTTTAACCTGCTCTTAAGAGCGAGTGAGCATGTCAGTCAGAGTATATCTGCCCTGTCATTTAGTCTCTTTCACACTTCACAGGTCCCCCACAGTCAAAACAATCTCCCTTTGTATCATGCAAAGCACAGCCAGACTGCTTACACCACCAGTTCTCTCCCCCCCTCTCTCTGCACTCCCCGAGGTCTCTCTTCTCACCATACCGAAGCTTTCGCTGCTTCACCTTTCACCTCACATTACCACACTTTCCCCGCAGTGCGTGCTGTGTATTGTTAACTTTGGCATCTTCGGCATGGACGACTAAAGATGCCCTCCTTCCCTCGTATGTCCCTCTGTTCTCTGGTTTCATCTTCCTCCCGTGAAGCAACAATACGATCATAAAAGAGAAAGTGATCAGATGCAAAACTCTGATGACAGGGGGCTCCGCTTGGCAACAGGTTCTCTTCACTTGCACTGAAAATCAATCAGCCCTCGGTGTGCCTGACATCTGGTAAACTCATCTGGATGTCTATTGGTTCGAATTCCTCTCGCCATATGTTGTGCGCTACGTTAAACAAAACACTCATTTTTACGTCCTGATGCTGACAGTCTGAGATGAGGTAATCCACATCCATCGTAAACATGGCAGAAATCATAATTATTTGTAGTCTGCCTTTCGCTGTGAAACGCATCAGTGTGCACCCGAATGAATGGCAGGTGATCGTCTACAGAAGTCTGAATTCCCGCGGTTATTCGATTCATCTTCCTCTTCTTCACTCCTGAAGCAAAAATCCATCATCTTCTCTCCTTTTATTGCACCAAGGTAAACTAGATCAAAGCGGCGCTTGAGCTGCAAAGTTTTATCGCCCTCCTCTTTTCCTTTTTGTTCACTCATTTTCCACAGATGATATCCTGCATCTGTTTCCCTCCAATGGTGTCCTTTCTTGGCTGCCGAGTTTTAAAAACCACAGTGCCCATAAAATGAGAAGTTATCAAAGTTTTTCTGCACCGAACAGCAATAAATTGGCAGTGACATTTTCAGTACATGGCTTCTGGTCTGCTGCCGGTTTATCGGTTACATTTTGTTTTTATACCTAACTCTGTATAAGCACCTCTGGTGTATAATACATCACAGCATTTTGCCCTCAGATACTGCGTTTCAGCTTCTTTGGCAACTCCAAGGAGAATCTTTATTGTTTCCCACTAGTGTGAGAAGCTAAATCAACATTTCCCCCCCCAAAAAATAGCTCATTTCTATCCATAATTGATTTGTTTCTGAAATGTTTTACAACTTATGAAGAGTAAAGAGGTCCAAGTTTTGCCCAGAGGTCATCCAATACAAATGAGGCTGTGACCTATTTTCATAAATGCTCCTTAAAGAAAATAATAAGAGCGAAGGCAGCATGGCAAGCATAATGTGTTTCTGGATATGATGTCAGTGTGCTAATACAAAGCAAAGAAACTCTTCCCGAAAACAAAAGCTTTTTGGACAGAAACATGAATCTATTAGTTTAGTTCTGAACAATCTGCCCAGCAGAGCTTTGCTCTGCCTTTTGTTGGATATGAATCTCAACTTGACAAGCTGTCTTGAAGATAAATGGTACCAAATTAATGCAGAAACCATCCGACCAGAAAATGTAGCATCAGCGTAGCATAGCAATTAAGTCCACATTAAATACAAAGGACACATCAAGTGCCAGGATGACTGCTTATGTGCAGCCTTGACTACAGTACAACTGATGACCCTTGACCCCAGCTGTTTCTACTGAACATTACAGTTCTGCTCAGATGGCTAACGTGAACTTTTTTTTACTGTTTTCTGGCCACCGACAGCCTCTCTGTTGGTTCCCTGTGCAGCGTCCAAGACATAAACAAAAGAGAACAAAAACTCAGAGGATTTCACATACCTTCTCTCCCGGTTCACCTTTCGGTCCCTCCTCACCCAAATCACCCTGCAATGACATCACAGAAACCTGTTCAGTCTCTTGAACGCAGGAATGAGTCAGTGCTGACAGTACATGACATGAAACATGATTGTTTAAACAAGCTTAGCACACAGTAGGACGCGCTTCTTCTTCTGTGATTGCACTGGAGCAAAGCTGCTGCCTTATCTTCACTTTGATCACTTAACCGTCAAATGAAGTTCAAATATAAATGTAATATTTAGGTGATGCCCTGTTACGAAGCTCCTAAGCTCACTGCATTGAGAGCTGTGATGAACTTCACTTTTTAACTCCTAACTTTTGCAATATTAGCTGTACGGCCGGGATCAAATGCCATAGCTCGTCCCATCCACGATATGACTCGGTGGAAGCCAGTTGACTGGTAGTTTTCTTTATAAGGAGAATGTCTTGTTGTTGGAATAACCATCAAATGAGTAAGTCTGGTGAGCCAGCTTTTTTTCTACACCCCCAAGAGGCTGTCATGTCTCAAATGCACACTCTACGCGCATTCCCAGGCTCTCAGTTGTACTTTGTTTTTCCTGTTAAATAGCAACAGTTAGCATACGATACCAAGCTGGTAAATCTATCTGCTCAGCATCAGCATGTCAGCACGCTGGTTAGAACTTAACTCAAAGCACACAGACTCACAGACTCTGTAAAATGTTGCTACACTCTTGTTTTATCAGTGGATTTCGTATCACAGCACGGCTATAAATCTCGACTGTGTAAATGTAGTGAAACATGACATGTTTCATCAAATGAAATTAAATGGGGAAACACAATCATTTGCAATCATGAGTGTCTTTGTAAGTTATCCCTGATGTCAAAATATATACATATATTTAAAAAAACTGCAACAAGCTTTCTACTTTCCCTTTTTATCTGTTAGAAGCCTTTTTTCTTTTTTAATTAGCTTGCTGACTAATTAATGAGGAAAAACAAGTGTTTAATGTTAACATGTCTGACTCCTCTGAAAATAAAACCTCAGAGTACTTTGAGCCAAGCTGCCTGGCAGGGAAAAGGTCATTTCACTTTTAATAAATCCCCATGATTTTATATTAAGATTAGACCGCGAATCAAACAACGCCTTGCAGTTCCAAGGATATGAAATCAAAGGGTGTCTCATTGTGTTACGCGATTAAAAAATAAAAAAAAGAAACTTCAAGAAAACGAGATTATTTTAACAGCTTCAATGCTTCAAACTGCTGTTTATTTTTCCATCTAGGAATTTATCATAAGTTGAATCGACAAAGCCAAAAAGTGCAGTTTTTGCTAGCAGCGCTGGCCTGCCACATGGCATCTCTTCCAAACCCGAAGGTCAGGACCCCATTAGTGCTCTGACAAGTCTCAGGATGATTATATGACTGGAAATGATAAAAAAAAAATTAAATCTGCAGAACAAATTGTTTATTTTGTCAGAATTTGCGTAATTAACTGGACGTGGTTTCCTCTTTACCCTCCTGCAACCTGATGAAATGATCTGAAAAAGGTGCATCCCTGGAAAACTGGTCATGATTTTTAAGACGTGGAAATTGTGGCAAAGCCAAGCGGCCAGGAGTCGACGAAGCACAGAACCAGGTTCATACTAACACGAACTGACACACTGGATGCTCGTGTTCTCGTGTTAAGGCTAGAACATTTCTGCATATTAAAAAAAGAAATATTTGCACTTTGACCTTTTTTTGTGCATCGCGGTAAAGGATACACACGATGCTGTGAACTGGGATTGCTAGGAGATGCTGTCACATCTTTACAGCAAGCCAGGTGTGTTAGTGACAGAGACACTGACACTGTTGTCAGCTCAGAACTGATCCAGCTGACAACGACTGCCCGAGGGCCAGTTTTGTGGTCGATGAAGCACACACGATAAGGCATCACTCAACTCTCCAGCCCGCTGCACTGTCATCCCGGTCAGTGTTTCACACCTCCCGCCCCGCTGCCGTCCAACAACAGCAAATAAGGGCACCATTACAATTACAGAACAGAGGGAATAAAGCTGCTGTTCCTCTGTGAAGCTGTTTTATGGGTCTGTTCTTAGGTTTACTTCACGGCCTGGAGTCGGTGAAGCTGGGTGCAGTTTTTGTGACTCACTAAATCACTGACTCACTGGTGGCTAAGTTACAGAAGGGAGGCAACTTCAAAAAAAAACAAAAAAACTAGCTGGAGCTGGGAGATGTAAAGGCAGAGCTGCAGTCGTGGTGACGAGATAACAGACTGACGCTAGCAATAATGTCCGAAGATCCAAATTAGCGCCTTACCTTTTCACCTCGTTCTCCCATTTCACCCTGTTAGGAAGGAAAGCAGAGCAGCAGAGACAGAAAAAATGAGGGTTTGGGTGGGTTATTGCACACTCAGGGTCAGATCGTATCTGGGGTTAAATTCACATTTGATTATAAATGTTATGACTGCTTTTTTCCCCAGACAGACCCTGACATGAACTTTTTTGTTTTTTAAATTTAAAATCGTTCTTGCATTATCATTGCAACATATTTTTATACCATGCATTAAAGTCTTCATGGATGATATATATTTTCTGTTACATCAAAGACGAACACATGTATATGCATGGTTTTCAAAACCATGAAAAAGAAATCACAAAGGGACAAAACGGCTGATGGTCAAAAGGTAAGATGAAAAATGACTGAAAGGGGGAGATGCTTCTGTGAGAGGATAAGGGAAGTATTGAAAATGACTTTAACCCTCTGGAGTCAAGGGACATCTCCAAATCACATGACTGAATTAAGATGACCCTGCAGGAAGACGCAGCCTCACCGAGTCT